CATTATCATCATCATCATCATCATCATCATCATCATCATCATCATCATCATCATCATTCGGCCACTCATCACCATCACCACTCATCATCGTCATCATCATCATCATCACCATCATCATCATCAGCACCATCCTCATCACCACTCGCTCACTCATCACTTCGTCACCACTTAATCCCTAGCTTGAGTATGGGGGACGTCTCGAGCGGGAGCCTCGTGTGTGAGTGAATGGCGGGGACGTCTCAGGCGGGAGCCCCTCTCTTTAGGTGGCCCGCACCTCATTTTTATAATCTGAGCGGGTCATCAGGATCTTGTAATTGTCGTCACTTTTGGGCTCCTGAGGCTTGAGTATGGGGGAAGTATCAGGCGGAAACCTCGTCTGTGAGTGAATTGCGAGGAAGTCTCAGGCAGGAGGGCTCTCCCTATAGGGCCCGCACTTCATCTTTTTCATCCGAGCGGATCATCGGAACCTTGTAAATGTCGACACTTTTGGGGTGCTGAGGCCTGAATGTCCCAGGCGGGAACCCTTTCCCCATGGGGCCCGCACATCATCATTTTAATCCGAGCTGGTCATCGGGACCTTGTAACTGTCGTCACTTTTGGGTGCTGATGCCTGAATATGGGGGAAGTATCAGGGAGCGTTTCGAGACCGTGGGCGAAGGGCACGAAGCGCTTCGAGCCCGGGGACCCTCTGATCACGTTCCTGGGCTGCACGCGCGAGGGCAACCCCGTCCCACCGGATGTCTGGTCCGCCTGGGAGAAGACGTTGGCGTCGGACAACCGCGGCGACCTGGACCTTCGGCACCAGCACGAGAGCTTTCGGCTCGGCTACGGCATGGGCATATACTGGGAGACGCTGGCGAGGTGCATCAACGCGCGCTCTCGTCGCGACGCGCGGCGCATGGGCGTGCCCCTCGTTTTCTTGCAGGCCGTTGACGAGTGCAGCGCGATTCAGGGCGATTCCGACGCGGGCCGGCGCCTCCTGAACGTCCCGAACATGCACAAGACGGGGGACATCCACGGCGTCTTGCCGGCCCACGTCGGCATGGAGGTGCGACTCACGGCAGTGCAGGGAGAGCTGAAGAAGAAGATGGGGCTCGTGCAGGAGCAACGGGCCACCATCGCGCCTTTCGGGTTCCACCGCGAGGACGAGCAGCGGCACGAGGAGTGCTCGGCAGGCCAGCTCTTTCGCCCCCGAATCCTACCGCGGGGACTCTGGCTGCAGGTGCACGGCTTCAAGGAGTCTCCGATCTACCAGGAGGTCGCCGAGGTGCTGCGACAGGGCGCCGAAGACGCCGACGACGGCCAGGCCGAGGCGCGGGCTCGGAGCACGCCGATGTTCAGGCCCAGCGAGCAGGAGTTCACCTGGCAGAGCTCGGGGCCGCACGCTGCGCGCCGCTCCGGGTTTACCTTGACTCGCGCGTCCAACCTCACCTCCGCCGTGTTGCAGGTCCAGACGCTGCGCAAGGGCGTCGCCGTCGAGTGCGCGAGGGGCGAGGGCGCTGGCCGCGCGGGCTTGTCGGACGACCAGCGGTGGCTGCGCCTATACGCCATGCTCTCCCGCGCCAGGCGCGCGCGGAACATGCTGATCCTGCGGCCGCCTTCGCGCGAGTTTCTGGAGCGCGGGCCGCCGGCGCCATTGCGGGAGGCGCTCAAGGAACTCGATGAGAAAGCGACGACTTCCAAGGATGGGGCCGAGCAGCTCGCCGCGGAGCTTGGCTTCGTGCTGCCTCCCGCCTGAGCGCTGCGGCGCGCAGCTTGAGGCCCGCGGGGTTGTCCCAGCGGTCTGGCCCGCGGGGTTGCCCCGACGGCCTGCCCTCGCGCCCCAGCGGCCCGCGGGGTTGCTCCAAAGGCATGGCCCGCGGGGCTGTCCCAGAGGGGCTTCGCGATCTGGCCGTCGGCGAACGCGCGCGCGTCGGCCGCGGCGGCGACGGCGCCGAGGAAAATCGAGTTGCTTGCCCCGACCAGGGAGAGAGGAGGTGCACATAGAGAAGCGGCAGGAGGATGGGGAGGGGGGCAGGGGTAGAGGGAGGGCGACGATGAGGAGGAGGTGGAGAAGGAGGAGGAGGACGACGAGGAGGAGGAGGAGGAGGGGGAGGAGGAAGAGGATGAGGAGGAGGAGGAGGAGGAGGAGAATTGATAAAAAGGAGGAGGAAGAGGAGAGAGCAGAGCCCAGGGCGAGAAGAGGATGTCCGCCAGGGCGACGGGGGAAGGGCTAAGGGTACGCCAAACAGATTCTCATGCGGGGCCGTCGGAGTAATGGGAATATGTTGTATTTGTCGTCGAAGCCCCCCCGGTAGGGGGACAGGCCCGACCTAATCCCAGGGCCGTCGTGGAGCAATTTCGGTTATGTCCTCGGCGTTCGACATTGGACACTTCGCTGGCCCTGATGGCGTCCTTCTGGTGGCCATCGCGTTGACCTCCTGTGCCCGTCCTAGGGCCGTCCTGAGGTCTTCTTGGGCCCGGATCGTTGCCCTTGGAGGGCCGCCCGGTGCTGCATTCTGAACTATGTGTGCAACGTTGGCCAGCGTGGGCCCCAAACAGCGGTTTCTTGCAATCCAGCTACGCGGTGCACTCCAGGTGGTGCAATCTGGGTCGTGCAGGCCAGGTGGAGCTACGCAGCGCACAACAATGCAAAGCAACGCAAAACAAACCAAAGCAACGCGAAGCAATGCAACGCAATGCGACGCAGTGCAGAGCAATGCGAGGTAATACGAAGCAATGCGAAGCTATGCAAAGCAACGCAAGGCAATGCAAAGCAGCGCAAACCAATAAGCAAGCAATGCAAAGCACTGCAGCGCAATGCGATGCATTGCGAAGCGATGCGCAGCAGTGCGAGCGGTCCGCGGAGACGGGCGGCGACAAGCGGGCGGGACCGCCAGGCAGGGCCAGGCAGGACGTGGCGACGGGCGGCGAGGAGCCGGCCCGACCGCCAGCCAGGCCACAGTCTTTAGAGGACCAGCGGGAGTCCCAGAGCGCAAGCACAGTTCGGGGGAAGTGGTGCGGCACCGGGCGGCGGCGACGAGCGGCCACAGGGCGGCGGAGCCGGTAGCCAGCCCCAGGTCCTCATGAGGCAAGTGCTAAGCCTACACTCGGGGATGATGACTAGGGGGGGTGATGACTAGGGGGGGGGATATCATGGCGGGGGCCATGATATTTCCCCAGATTTCATGGCGCTTCTTAACTATTTGATTACGTCCCTGGCCCCCCCCGCTGGGCCGCGCACATGTCGCCGGTCATGATTTGCACCCCACCCTCTTGGACCCCCCCCTCTTTGCCGCCCCCGATACACGGGCGGCACTAGAACTAGTTTTGACCATGATCCGTCAGGCTGTCGACGAACCCTCCCTCCAGGTAGAAGCTGAGCGACAGTTTTTCGGTCGGACTTCGGTCCGAATCCGATGGGCTCGTATCCCGTAACGGTATAACAATAGATTTTTAGAGCGGTGTGACATTCCGTCCCACCGAAAGTTGGCCCAGAAATCGCAATAGTTTCGACCCAACTGCATTGCAATCGCGCCGCATGGGACACTCGAGCCCATCATGACCGGCTTCGTCATCGTCGTTGTCGTGTCGATGTCGGCGCGGGGCTTCAGTACATTCGTTGTTTATGTTATGTTTTGTGACCCTGGGCGTCCGTACCCAACGCGGTCGCTCTTGCTTCATTGGAGGGCCATCCCACGAAGGCTCGCGAATTCTCATCGGGGATCCTCGTTGGCCGTCGTCCGCAAGCGGGGCATTCTGGGTTATCCCCCCCCGCCGCAGATGGTAAACAGCTTTAGCACCCGGCACGTTAAGTGCAAAGATGGTTTGGGGAATGAGGGAAGGCTTTGAGACCTCGCGCGGCGCGCAATACAGTTGGGGCCCTGAAGAATGAACCCTTTTCGTTGGGGAGGGGCTCCGCGTTCCTTAAGTGTTTCGCAGCTTGCCTCAGGCTTTCCTTATGCTTTCGACAGGAAGTCGAAGGTTAACTTATGGAAAAAAGGGGCCTCGTTCCTTATTTAGGGTTCCTTAGGTCAACGCCCCGACTGTAGTCCACGCGTGCACCCTGTCAGAGTTGGGACAACGCTCCCGCGGCCACGCTCCGACGCAGGTTCGACGTGAGTCCGACGCGAAGCCGACGCACAGTCTGCCTCAAGTTGCCGCGCGAGGCCTCTATAGGATTTTCCCTAGTATCTGGGCCGCCGCAGGCACGTCTCGGGTCAGCAAGGCGGGGGCCCGCAAAAGCATTGCATATCTCATAGAGTCATAGACTTAGAGAAGCCTCTCACGCTTGGAGCCCTCCTTTGCCCCGCCTCGCTCTCCTCATCGTTCTCCCTCCTCCTCCCCTCTCCGTTCCTCTGCGTTCTCGTGCCTGCTGACCTGCCACCCGCCACGGCCTCGGAGGCTCCCCCCGGAGGGGCCAGCACTACACAAAAAGGGTCTCGCACTCCCAGAGCAGGCCGGAAAGGACTGTTCGCCCGCGGCAGCACGAAGGCGACCACACGCTTGGGAGGAGGAGGAGGAGGAGGAGGAGGAGGAGGAGGAGGAGGAGGAGGAGGAGATAGGGAGGGAGGACGAGGAGAGGAGGAGGAGGAGGAGGAAGGAGGAGGAGAAGGAGCAGGAGGAGCAGGAAAAGCAGGATGAGGAGTAGGAGGAGGAGGAGAAGGGAAGGGGGTCATTAGGGAGGAGGATGAGGAGAAGAGAAGGAGGAGGGAGAGGAGGAGAGGAGGAGGAGGTGGAGGAGGAGGGAGGAGGAGGGAGGAGAGGAGGGAGGAGGAGGAGGAGGAGGAGGAGGAGGAGGAGGAGGAGGAGGAGGAGGAGCAGGAGCAGGAGCAGGAGCAGGAGGAGGAGGAGGAGGAGGAGGAGGGAGGGAGAAAGGGAGGGAGGGAGGGAGTAAGGGACGGAAGGAGGGAGGCAAGAGGAGGAGGAGGCGGAGGAGGAGGCAGGGGCGGCGCTCCACCGACCTGCCGCGCCACTGCTCTGCCTCCTCCGGCCCCCCCCCCGCGGCCGTTGGCGGCCAGGCCGAGGGGGAGGTGCAGCCGAGGCGGCGCCAGTACCTGCCCGGGCCTCGGAAGGGTTAAGTCGGGCCTGTCCCTCTACAGGAGGAGTCTTCAAAAATAATCAAAAAATTGTCTGGGGACGATTTTTCTAGTATTCTTTACCATTTGGGGGTATTATGGGGGCATTTCTAATTTTTCATCCAAAATCCCCCTGTAGGGGGACAGACCCGACTGAACGGAAGGGTCAGCGAGCGGGGGCTCCCCGTTTCGAGTACACGAGAGTGGCTTTTCGCCGGAGTGACCTCTGGTGCGGGCACAATGGGGTCCCTCGATCGCCGAACGCAGTGCGAGCCGACCGTCGCTCAGAGGACGGAAAGTTACAGATGCTGCTGCTCGTCCTGGAGAGTGCCCGTCACCACGGCTGCATTCGCCTCGGGGTCCTGGTCCGAAAAAAAACACCCCTGGAGAGGACCAGGGAGCGGCGGCTCCAGTACCTGTGGGTTTCGCCAGCTCCTCTGGATGTGCCGCCCGTCCACCTGCGGCAGGCTCGTGTCCTGCCGTCGCGGCAGCGACCCCGCCGCGGGCGCCGAAGGCTGAAGAACGCCGCCGGTGGGCGAGGCGGCCAATGTGGAAGGACCGCGGGAGCTCGCCGGGAGCTCGCGCGCGTGGGAAGTCTCAAACAAAAAAAGGGCCAATGTGGAAGGGCATGGCGATCGAAAGCGCGGGGCCCCGACGAGGCCCATGCCTGGCCCCAGGGCTGGCCAGGCCGAGAGCTCCGTGCGCGGTCGCCGCCCACCAGCAAGGACGAGGCGGCTTTTTTCCAGAAGCGGTGCCCTCGCGCCCTCGCCTCGCCTTTTTCTGGCCCGTCCTTAGGAGGAGGAGGAGGAGGAGGAGGAGGCGGAGGAGGAGGAGGAGGAGGAGGAGGAGGAGGGCGGCAGCGTCACCATTGACACCGATGCCAGCGACAACGACAGGATGATAACGAGGAGGAGGAGGAGGAGGAGGAGGAGGAGGAGGAGGAGCAAGAGCAGGAGAAGGACGAGGAAGGCCTTTTTGGCCCTAGGCCCCCGCGCCGCGCGCCTGGACAGGGGGGGGGAGGCCCGCCTCAGGGCGCCGCCGCAACGGTGGCTGCGTGCGTACGCCGTGAACAAGACCAAGATCTACAGGTTGGAACCCATGATCTACAAGCTGAACCTCAAGATCTACAGGCTGAACCTCGAGATCTACAGGCCAGGCTTCGCGAACCACCAGTGCTACGATTTAATCCCATCATCTGTGGAGACAGACCGGCAGACTCCATGCCGAGACTGAGAGCAGCGGCAGCGTTCAAGCGGATGGGGTATTGCGTGAGAGACACAGGATCCAACTACACCCCAAAGACATTATGATCGTCGCCACTGCCGCCTACAACGGCACGTACGCCACCAAGTGCGCCAGCAAACACGATTCTACGACGGCGGGGTGCAATGAGGTGAAGCCCTACGCACACGCACCCAGTGGCAGAAGACAAGGGACCCCGACTACATGTCCAAAGCCTCCTGCGCCAGAGGCGAAGTACATCGTCATAGGGGTGCTTACCCGAGACCTGTACGACTCCCGGTACGGCACTGGCAACAACCGCGACCACGACCAGCACTGCCAGTACGGGCAAACATGCTGCCACAACGTGGGCACATGCTGCTTCGAGGTTAGTTTGCCCTGCCATATTTTCTACGGAAGCCAACTTGCTGAGTCCAGAGGGCCACCAGCTGAGCTACGACAGCAAGAAACTGTGTTTCGAGAGTCGAGCCATCAGAAGAGCTGCGACGGTACGCAGGATAGCTGCGAGGACCACAAGCAGAGCCGTTAGGGTCACCAGCAGAGCTACGAGAACCACCAGCTGAGCTTTGAGGGCCACCGGCAGGCAACTTGAGAGCGGGACGCTACAACCAGGCAGCCGACGATTCCGACTTGGACAACGGGGAAGCGAACGAGGCAGACGAGAAGGATAATGAGAAGGCAAACGAGGAGGAGGAGGAGGAGGAGGAGGAGGAGGAAAAGGAGGAGGAGGAGGAGGAGGAGGACTACGAGGAGCACGGCTTTAACAAGGAGGACGACGCAGAACTACCAGTGCCACCTGCTGAGATACGAGAGCCACCACCCCAGCTACAAGGACCAACGGCTGCGCTGCCAGGAACGCGCGCTAAGCTGCAAGAGCCACAACCCCAGCTACAAGGACCAACGGCTGCGCTGCCAGGACCGCGCGCTGAGCTGCAAGAGCCACAAGCAGAGCTACGATGACCACCGGCCGAGCTACAAGGACCACCTGCCAAGCAACGAGTGCCACGGCTTCCGCTGCGCGGGCCACGAGCAGAGTTACGAGAGCCTCGTGCAAAGCAAGGAGGGCGATGAGCCGAATTGCAAGGGCCACGAGCGGACCAGAGATCCACATCCTCAGCTACGAAGGCGACCTGCTGGCCTACGTGGGCAACACCCCAAACTACGCGGGCCACGATCAAAATTAAGAGAGCCTCCCGCAGAAGTACCAGGGCGACGAGCTCAACTGCAAGGGCCACGAGCAGAGCTTCGAGAGCCACCATCTTAGCTACGAAGGCCACCAGCTCAGCTATGATGGTCACAACCTGTGCTACGCGAGCCACGAGCAGAACTACGGCCTCCCCGCAGAACTCCCAGGGCGACGAGCTCAACTGCAAGGGTCACGAGCAGACTTTCGAGAGCCACCAGGGCGACGAACAAACCTTCCATGGCCACACGCTGTGCTACGGGGGCCACAACCAGGGCCACTCGGTCCACGAGCAAAACTACGAGAGCCTCCCGCAAGGCTGCCAGGGCGACGAGCCCAACTGCAAGTGCCACGAGCAGGTTTTCGAGCGCCACCGGGTCATCTACGAGAACTACCTGCTGATCTACGAGTGCCACAGTCTGAGCTACGAGGGCCACGAGGGGAACTAAGAGAGCCTCCGCCGAAGCCACCAGGGCGACGAACAGGCCTTCGAGGGCCACCAGCTCAGCTACGCAGGCCACCTGCTGAGCCACGAGGGCCACACCCTGGGCTGCGAGGGGCGGAACCTGAGCTACGCGGACCACAAGCAGAAGCACGAGAGCCCCCCGCAGAGCTACCAGGTCGACGAGCTGAAGTGCAAGGGGCACGAGCAGAGCTTCGAGGGCCACCGGCTCAGCTACGAGGGCCGCCTGCTGAGCTACGCGGGCAACAAGCTTAGCGTCGAGGGCCGCGAGCAGAGCTTCGTGGGCCACCAGCCCAGCTACGAGAGCTACCAGCGGAGCTTCGAGAACCACAGGCAGAAACACGAGACGAGGGCGGCCACCGGCAGCGAGAAGACGCATAATAACCTGGAGATCCAGATCTTCTAGAGGCAGAGTTCAACCGAGCCGCAGCGGGAAACTGATCGCCATCGGCGGCGCAGGACAGGGCAGTTTCGGCAAGACGTGCCACGACTGCGTTGCGGAGAAGCTGGGCGAGACATCCGCCACGGTCCGCTGGCTGGATAACACGACTTGCCTGCTCCAGCGCGCGGCACTCCGTAGAGCGCAGGAGATATCGATTGGCTACGATGCCATATGCTTCTAGCGCTACAGTGTTCTACTACCGCTACACGCGCTACAGTGTTCTACTACCGCTACACCGTTACCTTCGTCTTTCGTCTCCAGCGCTACCGACTAGTATTTCGAGTATACCGTTACCGACAAGACTCGCCGTCGGCATAATCATCATGTTCACATTAGTGGTGCCGCTTCATGTTTGAGGACGAATGAGGAGGAGGAGGAGGAGGAGGAGGAGGAGGAGGAGGAGGAGGAGGAGGAGGAGGAGGGCGAGGAGGAGGAGGAGGACGACGACGAAATCAAAAGGGGATGCATCGACCCCCAATCGCCCATTCATCGCCGATAGGGGGCCCCATGGCCGACCCGCCCTAGGGCCTATTGCCGATCGGTCGGCGATCCAGCATCGATTCCAGGTCGGTGTCCCCCCGCAGCGTTGCCTGTCAGAGCTGGTCCTGGGGAGTTCGGAGGTCGATGGAACACCCACCCTGGTACGTCGTTCAGCGAACTGGCCTCTCTTCGCGTGTTGCTAGAAGTGCCCCTGGCCCAGGGTGCCCCCCAGGATTCGCTGGGTGACCCAAACGGCTTCCATAGCACCCCTCACGAGGCCCAGAGAGCCCCAAGGGTCCCAAAATTGAATGCAAACATTGGGGGCGCTTCGGGCCAGGCCCCCACAACCTTACATACGAGTGGCTTCGAACACGTGTTCTGGCCAACACCGAGATGCACCGACCCGAACGTAACCAACACAATCTCAAGTCACCGAGCGCGTTCCACTACTCGCAAAGTGCCTATTTGCAAACGTCAGAAAATGACCCTGGCGACGTACCCAACCCTTGCGCAATGCGGGGCATCAGTACATCAGGATTGCTACAACGGGGGCGATGTCGTAACATGGACGCATGTGCTTTTGCGAGCAACAATCGGGAAGCTCGCAGGCCCCCGGTCAAGATATGCGGGCTACGTAATAACAAATCACCCCCGTTGGCTGTGCCATGCGCCCGTTGCGCCTAACGTATCCCGCAGCAGTTCTCTCTGTCTCTCTCTCTCTCTCTCTCTCTCTGTTTCTCTCCCTTTTTTTTGTTTTCTCTCTCTCTCTCTCTGTGTCCAGAGCCCCCCAGGGACGGAGAGGTCTCGCTCAGGTCCCCGCGGTGCCTCATCCCGTTAGAGCCACCAGCAGCCCTCGAAAGTGGCGACAGTGTCGCAGATTGCAGCTCCCCAGGGACGGCGACGTCTCGCTCAGGTCCCTACGGTGCCTCAGTTCGGTGGACCCACCAACAGCCTTCGAAAGTGGCGACAGCGTCGCAGATCGCAGCCCCCCCCCAGGGACGGCGAGGTCCCGCGGTGCTTCAGTCCGCTGGACCCAGCAGCAGCCGTCGAAAGTGGCGACACTGTCGCAGATCGCAGCCCCCCAGGGACGGCGAGGTCTCGCTCAGGTCCCCGCTGTGCCTCACTCCGCTGGACCGACCAGCAGCCTTCGAAAGTGGCGACTGTGTCGCAAATCACAGCCCCCCACGGACGGCGAGGTCTCGCTCAGGACCCCCTGGTGCCTCACTCCGCTGGACCCACCAGCAGCCCTCGAAAGTGGCGACAGCGTCGCAGATCGCAGCCCCCCATGGACGGCGAGGTCTCGCTCAGGTCCCAGCGGTGCTTCACTCCGCAGGACTCACCAGCAGCCTTTGAAAGTGGCGACAGCGTCGCAGATCGCAGCCCCCCCTGGGACGGCGAGGTCCCGCGGTGCTTCAGTCCGCTGGACCCAGCAGCAGCCGTCGAAAGTGGCGACACTGTCGCAGATCGCAGCCCCCCAGGGACGGCGAGGTCTCGCTCAGGACCCCCCGGTGCCTCACTCCGCTGGACCCACCAGCAGCACTCGAAAGTGGCGATAGTGTCACAGATCGCAGCCCCTTGGCAAGATGTACACACAAGAAGTACCGCAGCCAGGATGCACACACAGACACATACATATATATATATATACACACACATGAGGTACGCGCAAGGCAAGAGGAGACAACGGAAGCGGAAGGCGGAGGACGGAGGGGAGGAGGAAGGAGAGGAGGAGGAGGGGAGAGGAGGGGAGGAGGAGGAGGGGGAGGAGGAGGAGGAGGAGAAGGACTGGAGACCGTCGTGCTCTATTCAAAACGAATACCCAGCCAAGGAGGGTTGCGAAAAACAGGTGTCTGCTTTGATCTAATGTCTCGTGGATCCTCCGCGGGGGATCCGGGCCATCTGCGAGTAGTCACTTTTTGCATCAATTCTCCGCAGGGTGTGGCGGCCGCCCTGCCTGGCGGGCCTGCGCCCGCAGGACCAGAGGGTGCCAGGCCGCCTTCACAGGAGGGGCGCGGGGCCCCGGCGCCGCCCCATCATCATCATCATCATCATCATCATCATCATCATCATCATCATCATCATCATCATCATCATCATCATCATCATCATCATCATCATCATCATCATCATCATCATCATCATCATCATCATCATCATCATCATCATCATCATCATCATCATCATCATCACCACCATCATCATCATCGTTAGCGTCAGCATCACCAACATCAGAAGCACGATCAGCAGCATCATCATCACCATCAGCATCATCCTCCCCTTCTCATCCCCCCCACCCTCCTCATCCGACTCCCCATCCGCCCCACGGGATCCACATACGTTTCTGCCTCCTCCCCACCCAGTTTGCCTGGTCATCTGCATGCCTCCCCCCCCGCGGGCAGCCTCCCCACCGAGGGAGCGCTCGAGGACCCCCCGACCCGGAACGGCCTGCCCCGCCCCACTTCACCGAGCGCGTTCCACGACTCGCAAAGTGCCTGCTCGCAAACGTCCGAAAAACAGATGCCTGCTTCGATGTGGCTTATCGTAGACGTCCCGCGGGGGATCCAGGCCATTTGCGAGCAGCTATTTTGCGAGTAGTGGAACGCGCTCGTCGACCACCCGTCCCCTGCATCCTGCGCCCCCCCCTCCTCCCCGCCCGAGAGCGCACGCCGAGGTCCTGCGCCGTCGTCGGCGCGGCGCCGAGCCTGAAGGGCTCCCGACGGGGGACGCGCCCAGACGGGCCCCGGCCTTCCCGCGGCCCTCCTCGCCGCGCTGCCCTCGAGGGGGAGGGGGAGGGGGAGGGTCGGGCCAGACGATTTTGTATCGCGCGGGGGTCCCTCTCGGGAGGAGGAGGAGGAGGAGGAGGAGGAGGAGGAGGAGGAGGAGGAGGAGGAGGACGAGGAGGAGGACGAGGAGGAGGACAAGGAGGAGGACGAGGAGGAGGACGAGGAGGAGGAGGAGGAGGAGGACGAGGAGGAGGAGGAGGACGAGGAGGAGGACGAGGAGGACGAGGGAAAGGGGGGTGACGAAATCTGCTGCGTGCAGCCGGTTTGGGCCTCGCCGCCGGGCCCATTCCTCGATGCATGGGCGCCTCCCGGCGCCGGGAAAATCAGCTGCGTGAGGTGATTCTCGAAGCCCCCCTTTTGCTATCCATCCCTCTCTCGCCCGACCCGAGAGGGGGAGGTCGACAGCTCGAGGCTCCCCCCCCTGGAGACAAAGCTGGGTCGAGCTCTGCCCCTGCGTGCTGCTTCTCGCCTCGCCCTCCGCCCGCCTGGACTTCGAGGGCCTTCTGGGTGGGAGGGCCCGGCGCCTGGCTTGCATGCCCGCGGCCCGCCGCGGGCCGCTTGCGCCACGGGTGGAGTGCCCCTGCGGCCTGCGCAGGAAATAGACGGCCGAGCACACAACGCACTCAGGCAGAGCATTTTGCCTAATTTGGCATCGCTCGGACGTGTGCGTGCTTCCACGGAGGGGACCATCGAGGAGCATCGTTGATTCTTTAGCACAAGATGCGCGCACGAAACCGGAAAATCTTCCTTCATCCCTCTCTGGTGGCCTCTCGCCTCGCGCCCCAGCGCGTTCACGACGCATTCACAGATCGCACGTCTGGCCGGCGATGTCTTGGGGCGGTGTGCCACCAGCCTCCCCGGCCAGAGAACGCAAGAACCACCTGGGTCGGGCGGGCGGGAAAATAAAGCTCTGCCGCCCACAGCGCTCAGTGGCACTGCTACTGGGCTGTCCCCTGACGTCGCGCGCCTGCGGCCGGCAACCTGCGCCCGCCCAGGCGCGCGAGAGAGAGAGACCCTCTACGGGCAGGAACACAATGGCCCGACGGCAGACCAGACCACCACGGCGCACTAGATAAGCGAGTGATTCCTCAAACTTGGGTCCTCGACGCGAGCCCTGGGGGCCCCCAGACGCCAGCAGGAGAAGAGTGGAATACATCACGCACTTTCATATTTTCCTGCTCCCCAAATCGATTTGGGAGGTACGAAAATATTCCTTCATCCCTCTCTGGTGGCCTCGCGTCCCAGTGCGTTCACAGGGCATTCATAATTTCCACATCACACCGCAGGGCAAACCCCCAGTTTTTCGAAGGCCGCCCAGGGGGCCGAAGAGACCGCGGCAAACAATGCAACGCGAAGCGTGTGCAATAAAAATCCGCTTGCCACTGGCCGTGGCTTGGGGGTGCTGCACCTGTCGCAGGCCACGGCAGCGCGCCCGACGAGGGGCGGCCACCAACCCCATAGAGGCCCACAGTCCAGGAGGCGTGCGCGGGGCGCGAGTCCGATATGCACCGGCGTCGCCTCAGAGAGTGGCGGACGGATGAGCTTTCCAATCTCGCTACGACAAGGCAACGCTTCAGACCGGGCGGCGCCACACCGGGAGTTCGCACAGGTTCGGCGACCAGTCCGCCGGCTGGGCCGCCTGCGAATTCGCAGACTGAGCGGCTTCCAGAAGACTCTGCTTGCGGGCCTTTCGTGTAGAAATTTCGCATCACATCCAAAGAGGCCCAGCCGCCCTGGCCTTGCACGAGCTCCTCAGGCAAGGAATCAGCATTTTTCCACCACTGCACGCCTCCCTTGCGCAAGCTGTGCTCGCCGACCTGTGCGTCGCGCAGGTGGCGCGAGAGCATGCGCCTGAAGGAATCCGCGGAGACGGGCTTCAAAACGACCACGCCAGTGACGCAGAACAAAACGCCGTCAGCCTGCCTTCTCAGTGCTGCACCCTGCGCCTGCCCGGCCCGGAGTTGCTTCGCGGAGCAAAGAGTTCCCAAAGACGGAAATTCTGGAATCCAGACGAGCAAGCCCTCGCCGAAGGGATCGTTCTTCTGACGCCGAATCCCGCACTGGATGGCCGCGCCTTGGTTCTCAACATCTCCAGGCCGCAGCGCTCGAACTTCAGCGAAACGCTTAATGCCGAAGAAGGCGAGGGCGGCCATAGCAGCGTCCCGAGTACCAGCGGGAGAGCACCGCGCGATGCGAGCGCTCAGTACCTTCACCTGTTCCCCCAAGGAAATGGCACGCTTGGCACGGCGCAACGAATGATCAGCTAGCTTTTTCACCCCCCGCCAAAAGTGCCACGCCCGAGGCGCCCAGGCATAATCGAAAGCCGGAAGCAAATGACGCTCAAGATGCCAAGCCCTGACAGCGGCCTTAGCCGCGGATACCGATCCCCAAGGCTGGCGAACCAGCATGGAAAACAACAACATCACCTTTTCCTCCGAGTCGCACGGCAGGTGTATCGATATTGATGTACCGTGCAGAGGGATGTGCTTTTCTGCGCCGTGCTGAATTGCGATGTGCCATGCCGCGATTGTGCTCTATAGCGCTGTGGGATCTTCAGCTCGAGCTGCCTGGGCAAATAGTAGCTGCCCCAGAGCCAACCGACAGGGGGCGCCGCAGAACGGCCCCAGGGATCGCGCCAAGGGTAGTTTCTGCTTCCGGTCGAAGAACAACGAACTCCATAAACATAAACTGTTGGTGTTCCGCGCGGATTTCTTGGATCCCCGCTGGGCCCCCCTGGCGGCGCCTCCGGCGCCGCACCTTGCGCGGTCCGCGCGCCAAGGAGGGGGGGCCCAGCGCAGAGCCAAGCAATCCGCGCGGAGCGCCAAATATTAAGTTTATGTTGTTTTTTCTATTTCTATTCGGGCTCCTCTTGCCGCCGTACTGTGGTCCTCCTGGGCCTTCTTAGGGACGGCGGTCGTCATGGAACGATCTTTGGGGCTTTTCGGGCCATCCCGGATGCTCATAATATCTGGTCAGGAATTTCGGCTTAGCGTGTCGCTCCGCTGGTTTTGGCCCACCACGCTGCGGCGCGACACGTTATCCATGTCCCAGGCTCAAGACGTCAACGTCTCGGACAGGAGCGACACGCTATCCACTCGCAAGGCATAGCGCGTCGCCCGGGTCGCCGCCGCGACACGCAGTCCAAAAGTTTCTGACCATAGAGGAGCATACAATGCTTAAGCAAGCTGGGAAAATGCCAGCCGAAGCACCCTGAGGCAGAATACGGGCGGCCATGCTAGTGGACGTATAGCAGAACATTTGCTGCGAGATCCGCCGACATACGGCGCAATGCAAGGATAACGAAAAAGCCTACAGCGAATCACCGCCGCCCCCTGCCTTTTGGAAGAGCCTGTGTGGCCGAACGTTGGGGCCAGAATTCGACCAAGCTATCGGACTTCCGTGTTCCCCCAGCCGTTGTGGAAGCCCTTCGGTGAACACGTGGTGGAGGAAGAGTAGAAAGAGGAGAGGGAGGGGAAGGAGGATGAAGGATGAGGAGGACGCCTTTTGGGAGTTTCTGGGGTCCTTTTTGGTGCCTTCTGGGAGCTTCCTGTGGGTATCTTGGAGACCTCTTGGGGGCTTCTTTGGGTCTGTTTGGGGCCTTTGGGAAGAAGGAAGGAGGAAGAAAAGGAGAGGAGGGAGGAACACGGAGGGGGAGGCCTCGTGGGCGCATCTTGGGGCACTCTTGGGGCCTCCTGGGAGCCTCCTGGGGGCGTCTTGGAGGCCTCCTTGGGTGCCTGTGGGAGCTCCTTGGAGGCTCTTTGGCCGACTGGGGGCGTTCCCTGGCCCATCTGACGCCGTCGGAAGCCGTCCTGCGGGCCTCTCTGGGCCAGCTTGGGGCCCTCTTGGGGCGCTTCAGGGTCATCTTGGGCGTTTGGGATGTCTCCTGGGGCATCCTGGACCGTCAGGAGGCCCATCTCGGAGGCATCTTGGGCGCTCTTGGGGCCATCTTGGTGGCCTCTGGGGCTGTCCGGGGCCGCCAGAAAGCCAAACATGAGCAAACGGCAGAATCCTTCAGCATCCTAAAGCACATGATTTTGGCCGCTTCTGGCCTTCGTGTTGAAGGCTTCTCGGGTCATCTTGGGCGATCTTGAGGCCACCTTGGGCCATTTTGGAGGCCTCGGCCCGTCTCGAAAGCCCTCTTGGGCTAATATTTGCCGTCTTTGTGGCACCTCGGCGGCCATCTTGGCTGTCTTGGGACCATTTGTTGTGAACGTTGATGTTTTTTTACGGGGGGGTCCCGGTGGCTGGCGGGCTGGACCGCAGGCCCCTGGGAAGATTTTGAGTATAACCAAACACTACCTACTATCTGGCACGCCGTGTACCTTTGTGGCAAGCCACGAGGGGCGGCGAATATCGAAGATTTCTACGGCGACTCACGACCGCCCCCTGCCTATGTGGCCAAACGTTTGGACAAAGTTTCGGCCACGCCACTGGACCATGCGTTCCCCCAGCCGTTGTGGAAGCCCTTCGGGGACCACTTGGGTGAGGAAGAGGACCATGAGGAGAAGAGGGGAAAGGAGGAATGAGAAGGATGAGGAGGATGTCTCTTGGGAGCTTCTGGGGTCCTTCTTGGTGCCTCCTGGGAGCTGGGCGCTTTGGATGCTCGTCGGGGTTTCTTGCAATGCCCATGGGGGCCTTTGGGATGCGTACCTCTTGGATACAAGCTAGATGACTCAAACGGTACGTAAGTCGCACCAATAGGGTCATATTGATCCCAGCAGGCGTCGATCCCCTGTGCCTGGGGTGTGGGTCAGAGACCTTTTGAATTTCTCTCGTCCCTTAGGATGCCCCTTGGGGGTCTTGAGGGCCTCTTGGGGGCCTCTTCTGGACCTCTTGGGGGCGTCATGGGGGCTCTTGGGGCATCATGCTGCTTCTTGGGGGCTCCTAGGCGATCTCGGGGGCAACCTTCGCACACCAGGGCTCCAGGGCGCCCAGAATTTGGGGTTGTGACCCCCCTACGAAGTGCTCTCAATCCTATGCAGAGGATCCTAAGGGACCTGAGGACACTCCACGTCGCGTCTCGGGGCATGGTGGCGGAAATATGTTGAAGACGCCTTCGGCGAATCACCGCCGCCCCCTGCCTTTTGGAAGCGCCTATGCAGCCGAACGTTGCGGCCACAGCTCGGCTAAGCTATCGGACTACGCGTTCCCCCAGCTGTTGTGGAAACCCTTCGGGGAACAAGTTGTGGAGAAAGAGAAGAGGAGTAGAGGGAGGAACAAGGATGCTGATGATGGTTTGATGATGATGATGATGATGATGATGATGATGATGATGATGATGATGATGATGATGATGATGATGATGCGGATGCTGATGATGCTGCTGATGATGCTGCTGATGATGATGCTGATGCTGCTGCTGATGATGGTCATGAGAATGGTGATGATGATGGTGATGATGAGGGGAATTATGAGGATGATGAGGATGATTAGGATGATGAGGATGATGATGCTGGTGCTGATGATGAGGATGGGGAGCAGGAGGAGGAGGCCCCTTGGGAGCCTCTCGGGGCACTCTCGGGGCCTGCCGAGAGCTTCACGAGTGCCTCTTGGAGGCCTGGGGCGTCCTTGGGGCTCTTGGGTGCCTTTGGAGTCTCCTTGGGAGGCTCTTTGGCCGACTGTGGGCGTTCCTGTCCCGTCTGACGCCGTCAGAAGCCGTCTTGGGGGCCTCGCTTTGCCGACCTGGGGCCCTCCTGGGGCGCTTCCGGGCCGTCTTGGAGGCCACCTCGGGCATCGTGGAGGCCTCCTGGGCCGTCTTGAGGCCCCCGTCGAGGGCCTGCGCGGTGCTGCCCCCTTCGGGTGCAGGGCGTGCACATCGCTTGGTGGCTGGGCGCTCTCCTTCCCCTTGCCCCTGCCATTTTCAGGAGAGGAGAACACACAGGCACAAGGAATCCTCGATTCCCGGGAACGTATGGGACAATACTGAAGGGGAAGAAGGCGAAGACCCAAGACCCAGAACATAGGGGAGCAGATGGGGGGAATCCGGAGCTCTGTGTGTGTACTTTGTTGTGTGCCCTTTGGGCCCCATTCGCATCCCCCCGCCCCCTGCCCCCCTCCTTCCCCGTCCGCCGAGCCCGCTCCTCGGCTGCTGCTGAGCCCCCCCGCGCGCCGCCCGGCTCTCCGCAGAGAGGCTCCCGGGCTGGGGCCGACATCGACAGCCACGGCGCGGTCTTCCGGGCCGGGCTGTGCAAGAAGACGTCGCTGCAGGCGCGGGCCTGGCACAGAGAGCTCTGCTTTTGTGTACTATATTAGTGAATGTACTTGGTTTTAGGGTTTTAACAAATGGTCGCAGCCACGCAGAGGGCGTGCGTAGCGACGCCCCAAATGCTCGGTCTCCAGTACTTCTACGTGGCGGCGCCCCCGCAGGCACGCAGAGGGCACGCGTGGCGACGGGGGCGTCGCCACGCAGAGCTTCTAAAGACCAAACATTTTGAAAACCAATTGTTTCCACGACTAAAGTATCGGAGCCCTGTCGATGCTGATGGCGAGGGTATCGGGGAGAATCCCCCGAAGCCGATTCTGCGCATGTCTAGATTATACCTTGCACTTGGTTTGTCCGAAGGCAGCATCTCTCTGAGATCCTTGTCCACTATGTCCTGTGTCGGCACCTCCTTCCCCCCTCACCACCACTCATGATTTCCCATCCTCATCCCCCTAGCCTCTCCTCCTATTCGCTGTCCTTCCCTCCCCATATTTTGTCTCCCCTTCTTGCCGTGGTCGCGTTGGGGGCCTCTGTGGGCTGGGGCCTCTGGGCCTCCGTGGGCGCGCTTGCGGTTTCCGTGGGCTGGGGTTGCTGTGGGCTGCGTCGGGGGCTTCAGTGGGCAACGTGCTGGAGTCTCTGTGTGAGCGCTTGGGGCCTCTGTGGGCTGTGTCGGAGGGCCTGCGGGCAGCGCGCTACGGCCTCTGTGGGCTTACTCTGGGTCTCCGTACCCGCGCATATGCCCATCGAGCGGGACGCCTGGGTAGTCGTGGGTCTCACGGGTATCCTGCCGACCGCTGCGGGGACTATAGTTCCATCGAATCGATTAGCAAGGTAATGAAGCAGTGGCAAGCAGTGACGGGATGGTATCCCTTGCGAGCCCCTGCCGCCGCCCCGACCCCCTCGGCCCAGTCTGCCTGGCTGGGGTGCTCACGGTGTGTGTCCGTGTGTGTGTGTGTGGGTTTCGTTCCGCTTAGCTTTCAGCGGAAGAGGTTCGCTCTCGCCCTGCAGATCAAAAATGTGTGTGTGTGTGTTTGTGTGTGTGCGTGTGCGTGTGCGTGCGTGTGCACGCCCTTTGAGGCTGCCCCCGAGCGCCCTGGGTGAACAGAGTGCGGACAGGGGGGAGCCGCTGCCACGGAGGAGAAGAGGAGGAGGAGGAAGAAGGGGAATAGGAAGAGAAGGAGCAGGAGAAGGAAGGAATGGAGCAAGCAAGGAGAGAAGGCAGAAGGAGGGCAGGAAGGGAAGGATGAAGAGGAGGAGGAGGAGAAGGAGGAGGAGGAGGAGGACATTGAACAAGGAAGGCAGGAAGGGAGGGAGGGAGGGAGGGCAGAGGAGGAGGAGGCGGCGGAGGAGGCCGCAGCAGCAGGCTGAGGAGAGCCGGCGCCGCCTCTCTCAGGAGTTCAGAGAGGACGCAGGCCGTCGCCCGCCCGACGCCCGCTCGCGACGCGCGCGTGCGCGCACGCCATTCCCCACCCAGGCTGGAGGAGGCGGAGGAGGAGGAAAGGAGGAAGAGGAGGCGGAGGAGGCGGAGGAGGAGGAGGAAAAGGAAAAGGACCAGGAGGAGGCGGAGTAGGGAGGGAGGGAAGGGGACGAGGAGAAGGAGGAGAAGGAGAAGGAGGTGTAGGAACATAACTACGGACGCGAAGGAGGGGAAGGAGGAGGACACCGCTCCCAGGGGCAATTGGCAAAGGTCGGCCCTCCAGTAATTCTGGGGACGGCCCTCCAGTTTCGGCGCCAATGTCCTGCTGGACGGCCATAACAGATCAGCCTAGAACAGGAGGGGTAGGATGATGATGATGCTGATGATGTTGATGCTGATGATGTTGATGCTGATGATGATGCTGATGGTGGTGATGATGATGCTGATGATAATAATGCTGATGATGATGTTGAGGATGATGATGATGAGGATGAGGATGATGATGCTGTTGATGATGATGAGGATGCTGATGCCGGTGATGATGCTGCTGCTGATGATGATGATAATGATGATCATGATGACGATGCTGACGATAGTGATGACGATGTCGATGACGACGACAATGATGATACTGATGATGATGATGATGATGATGATGATGATGATGATGGTGGTGGTGGTGGTGGTGGCGGTGGTGGTGGTGGTGGTGATGGTGGTGGTGATGATGATGCTGCTGATGATGATGATGGTGATATCGATGGTGGTGATGCTTATGGTGACGAAGGTGATGATGATGACCATGATGGTGATGATGATGATGACGAAGACAGTGACGATGATAATTATGATGGCGATGGCGATGATGCTGATGATGATGATGATGCTGACGATGAGGATGCTGATGAGGATGCTGATGATGATGATGATGATGATGATGAGCGTGGTGATGGCGATGGTGAGTATAATGATGCTGGTGGCGGTGGTGATGACGATTGTGATGGTGATGATGATGAAAATGACGATAGTGATGACGAAGATGATGAAGATGCTGACGCTGATCATGATTGTGGTGGTAGTGATGATGATGATGACGATGCTGATGCAGTCGATGACGACGATGGTGGTGATGATGATGGTGCTGTCGCTGATGATAATGATGACTATGCCGATGACGACGACGACGATCATGATGACGATGGCGATGGTGATGATGATGTTGAAGGTCATGCTGACGATGATGATGATGATGATGATGCTGTTGTTGTTGATGATGATGGCGATGATGATGGCGACTACGATGAAGACGTCGGTGACGATGACAATGACGATGGCGACGAAGACGATGATGATGAGTATGCGGATGATGATGATGATTTTGATGCTGATGCCGACGATGACGGTGATGATGGCGATGCTGATGACGACGATGTTGGTGATGATGATGGTGCTGCCGCTGATGATGATGATGATGATGATGATGATGATGATGATGATGACTATGCGGATGACGACGACGATCACGATGACGATGGCGATGGTGGTGATGATAATGATGAAGGTCATGCTGATGATGATGATGCTGTTGTTGATGATTATGGTTGCGATGATGATGGTGATTACGATGATGACGACGGTGACGATGACGATGACGATGGCGACGAAGACGATGATGATGATTATGCGGATAATGATGCTGATTTTGATGCTGATACCGACGATGACGATGATGATGGCGATGCTGATGACGATAACGACGATGGCGACGTCGGCGACGACGACGGCGACGACGACGGCGAGGAGGAGGAGGAGTTCAAGCGATTCGAGATACAACGATTTCTCACACAGAGACACGCAAAACCTTTCAAACATGAGCATCACAACGTCTGACGTCAATCAAAGACCCCAGACTTCCAGCCTCTCCCCATCGCGTCCAAGATTAACCAACAGTGACGCTGCAGCACGAACCCGGCTCATCACGAGGCTCCCGGGCGGCATGCCCAGGCCCTGCGCGGGACACGGCGGGCCGACCCGGCCGCCCAGGACTGCGGGCTGCGGCCGCGGCGTTCTGCGGCTTGCACGGGCCGAGGGCGGCCCGTTGTCGGGTGGGCGATGCAGAAATTCCTCCTCCTCCTCCGCCTCCTTCTCCGTCCTCCTCCTCCTCCTCCTCCTCCTCCTCCTCCTTTCTCCCTCCCTCCCTCCCTCCCTCCCTCCCTCCTTCTCCTCCTCCTCCTCCTCCTCCTCCTCCTCCAAAATAGGTCGTCTGCGCCGACATGCGCGCAAGCGCCCTCGTCTCAAATCGAGCGTGCCGCGCTGGCGGCCCGCGTACGCCGCGGCGTACGGTCGCTGTGTCATCTCGTGCAAGACCCTTGTTCGATCGTCGCTCCATTGCTTGCCCTCGCGTGACGTGGAAGTTTGCAACGCTTGACGCTCACGCTGAAGGATGGCAGCCCTTCTCACATTCGGGCTTTCGAGGTTCATCGATTTATCCAGAGAGTTGCAGTAGGCACTCTGATGGAGGGTCACGCTTGCATGTGATGCACCAGTGGATGACCCCAAAGCTTGAAATTTCAAGAGCTACGTGGCTGGAGCCCCATTCTTGTTTCCCAAGCAGCGCTTGCACTTCGGACTGGTTAACGAGGAGGAGGACAGGACAGGACATCCGCAGAAGGGTGTTCAACGTCAAAACACCTACGCTGGTGCCTTCCGCGCATCTGGCAAAATCCCTTTCGATTGGCTGTGCATCGGCCCTCACTTCTCACTAGGGCTGGCAGGGGGCATACCCTGATGCTCAAGGAATGAACTCCGAGGTGGCCCCGTAAGAGAGGCTCGCTACCTTACGATTGCGAATCCCTGCGGGTCAGTGCGGGGGGTGCAGCTGCTGGCCCTTCCGCGTGCCCAAGGGATGGGGACGCGCGGGCTTCGCAGGGCGTCCAAGCTAGGTGGGAGGAGACGACGACACGACAGCTCAAAAGGAGGAGGGGGAGAGGGTCGGGAGGCCCGTGCTTCCTAAACTTTTGCTGGAGGGCATGTTTACCATATTGGTTTTAGTGTATCAAATTCTCCCCTCTCTCGCTCGGCTCACTTCTCTTCCACATCGAACTGGCCGATAGTTGTCCCATGCATTGTCGTATCTGTACTCTGATACCCTGTTGGAGTACCCCACTGTTCCCCATCGAAGTGCATGTGGGGTAGGGTAGAGCATAGTGGTAGTCACGGTATGTTGTAGGTGGGGCCATCGAGGATGCGCTCTGTTTTTTCCCATTCATCACCCAGCAGTAATATCGCAGTCGGCACTCCACAAAACACTTTTCGTGGTTATGTCAGTGCGAGCGCTCTGTGTGAGTCCGTCCTGCGTGCTTAGAGTAGCACTCCGAGATTACCTCGCTAATGCATCTCTTGGCTTTGCCAGTGGGCTCGTCCAGCTTGCCCAGAGTAGCACTCCGAGAAAACCTCGCTAATGCATCGTTCGGCTGTCCAGTTGGCTCCAGTGGGTGCTCTCACTGGTGGCCGCTGGAGGAGCTGGCCGTCGTCGTCTCCTCCGCCTTGGGGGAGGCGAACTTTTCCTCGAAGATCCCGGTACCATCCAACAGGGTCTGCGTGCTCTCTCGTAGCTTCTGTCGCTCTGTGAGCCTTGTCATTTCCTCTGGGTCGAGAGTGTCCTCGTTACTCAGGTTCGTCATGGCGACCTTCATGACTTTGTGGAGGTTCACTTTGTCATTCTTCGAAACCTTCAGCGCCAACTCGCACCAGTTCTGCACAGCGAAGGCCTTCTTCCCAGCCCTTTCCCACGCGTCCACAGGATACCTTGCGATGATATCGCAACCGTTAACCTTGTACATCATCGGGAAGGCTACGGGGATCAGCTCGAGAAGCTCCTCTGGGCTCATTTTCTGGGCGGCGCCGTAGAACTTGTAGTGGCACTCCTTGATGGCGTCGTTTAGCTGCTGCGGCAGCCTTTCCGCTACGAGCGCTTCCCAGCCATTTCCCACCTTGAGCTCCACCACCATTGAACGGGGAGGAGGAGAAGGAGGAGGAGGAATGAAGGAATATTCCGAATGTTTGCCACGTCGCGGGCCCGTGGCGCCTCGTTGACGTTTCGTGCGCCCGCCTCGGTTGCGCGCCATGCTGCCGCTCGTGCCGCCTCGTTTTGGCGCCTCGGGGGAGCCCCGTGCCTGGGAGTTACGCCGAGGTTGCGCCGCATTGCCGCCCGTGCCGCCTCGTTGGAGCCCCACATAGCTTTCCGCGCATAGCTTACAAAACGTACCTCACATCGAATAGCATGTTGCAGTCCCCATGTCGCTTACACCTTATAGCTCATTTCTACAGTGCGACAGCGCACTGTTAGGAGCCCACGCTGGCTAGCATCAAAATCTAGTTTTGCCCAAGGTTTATTGCATGAGATATAGAATGCTAAGGCCTACGGCCGGCGCCGCCGACCCTGGACGACGACCCCTACGATCCCCCCGAGAACCCCCCAACCTTATCCTTCCCGGGATCCCCCCCGGAAAAGGGAGCCTAGGGAAGGGTCTCCCTTCGACTCAACTGCGACGTTACTGAATTTCGCGTTGGCTGTCTTACCGTGGCTGGCGCGCTCACGGAGGAGGGCACGGATGCTTCTTGAGTTCTTTTTGAAGCGCTCTCGTGGGCGTTTTGGGGGAAGCTTTGGGGGTGTCTTGTGAGTTGTTTGGGAGCCTCCTGCGGCTTCCTGGCGGTTCTTTGGGGGCGCCTGGGGGCCTTGTGGGGTCCTCTTGGGGGCCTCTTGGACCCCCGACCCACCCGTGGGGATGGCATTCTGACATGGGACCACTCCGCAGGAGAGAGAAGGTGCTGGTGTAGGCCATGTGTGCTTGTGTGGCCCGTTGGGTGCTTGTCTGGCCACGGGTGCTCCCGATCCACAAATCCTCGAGTACGGTAGACGGGGGGCTGGCCTCCAAGAGCAGACCCAGCCCCCGCCTTCTGGCGGATAAAAAGCATACGACAGGCCTCCTAGGGAGT